TATTTATCATGATATATGTAGTTAAGATGGCTTCTTATGATTAAATCTATCTACTGTAGCTTCCTAGTATGCTGATTAGATTAAACATTTCATATTCCTAGAGTTTAAAGCAAATGGGACTATGCTGCAAGTGAAAGTAAAATGCTTTTTTTCAAATATCCACCAAATTTTGTGGGTTTTTAAAAGGGAATAATTTAGCTATAATTTCTGCTGATTTCACAATTCATCCTAGATGAAATCATTGTGATTGTCAAATTAAACCATACTAGGACAATGCAAAATACTTAAGTGCTAAGATAGTTCTTGATTTACAACAAATTGGGAGAGGAATCTTGGTGGGTCAGTGAAACAGTTGTTTAATGAGATGTCACATGATCATTTTACTCAGTGACTGCAATTTTGGTAGTCCTGGTTTTGGTTTTGGTCATTAAGTGATCTTGTGGGGCATTAAGCAGACAGAGTCCTAGGTAAGTGAAGGAGGCCCTAGGATGCCCAGTGCAGGCTCTGCACAAATTGGTGTGTGTGTATGTGTGTGTACTACAGTGCAGTATCAAGTTGCAGCCATCCCTGAAAGCTCAAACACCCATCTAAAACATCAGTGCAGTTACCCAGGCCCCAGGAAACTTCACTGCCCACCAAGTCCACCAGAACAATCAAAGCTGCTTAGACCAGGAAGATTCACCACCCAGCCAGCCCATCAGTGCAAGCAAAGCTGCCTTGGTCTGAGAAGATTCACTACCCATCCAGCCCACCAGGTGCCCAGGTTACCTTTGCCTTTTTCTCTAGCTAGTGATAGACATGCACAACCTATGCTAAGCACATCCTTCTTATTAAGGCTTTGTGCCATTCCCCAAGCAGTTTCCATTCTTGTGGTGCTTTAGAAGCTTCCTTAGCAACTTTACTTGCGCTGGTGGGTGAGGCAGACAGTGAGACTTATTGAACCCAGGCAGTTTTACTTGCACTAATGGATTGGGTGGTTGACTGGGATCACGGGGGAGGGAGGAACCGGGTGGAGGGAGTTGCAGTGCCCCTGAGGCTGTAAGTTCAGGCAGGCTGCCAAGAGCTCAAATTTGCACAGTGTGACCATGGGAGCACTGCAACAGCCATAACTTCGGACATAGGTCCCTTCGTTCAGTGCTGTCATAAATGACTGAGAACTACCTCCAAACTCAACGTTTACAAGTGCTTGTCATCCACTTACAGGATTCATATGAAAGGAAGCTTTCACATCAGCAAAGTTTTAGCTAAACAGGATATTTTACTGAGTTTAGAAAGTCTGATTAGGGGAAGGCACTTTACTAGGAACTTTGTGTACTCAATAACTCAGTCTTAGGAATAAAAACATTGAATGATTTAAATGTTGGTTGAAATAGGTTGAACATTTGTGGAGAGGATGATCTTTGAAGTTTATGTTATGGCTGCTCATCAAAACCCATATTTAAGGGCAATTCACATAACAAAATTGGTATTCTAAGGAACCTTGTCATGGGAAATGTGACTCCATGAGAAATGCAGCCCTTCAGAAAAACTTTTAGGAACACAAGTCAGGAAAAAGAAGAGTCTAAATCAATGTTTGTCGAACATGGCAACTTTAAACTTGCTGACTGGAGATTTCTGGAAGTTGAAGTCCACACAGCTTAAAGTTGCCAACTTAGAAAAACATCTAAATTAGTTCCTGAATCCACACAGGGGCTGGGTTCACATACCAACTAATCAGCTAATGATCTAGCAAATATATTGTATGACCTGCAAACCAAGACAATGATAACTTTGCTTTTTTGTGTTGAACATGTTGGGTAAACACTTGTTGTGTCTTAGTGTTTGGCAAATTGATGTTTTTAATATATTAAAAAAGCCTAGAAAATGAGTAAATTCAACAAGGTTAAGAATGTTATTTGAATATGGTTTTCATAATGAATGTCATTCCAAAGCTACTGCATACAAATAGATGTAGTATACACTATATAAGGATTGGGTCAAAACGTCCACAGCAAAGATAGCCATGTACAGAATCATAGTACAGAAAATCAAATTAATAGCTTTGCAGTGGTTGACTCTTCAGTTTGAGAATATTACAGAGCCTTATTCCATCCCTGTAGTCTCAAACTATACAGAACAAGTCTTCTATGACATTCCTTCAGATACTTGAAAGGGCATATCCACAATCATTTTTTTCTTCAAGGAAAAACATACCCACTTTCTTCAGACTTAATTTCTAGCTACCTGATCATCCTGACTATCTTCACCAGTTGGTTCCTCTGAATCTTTCTTAAAATCTAGCTTTCAAAATTGAACACAGTACTCTGATCAATGCAGAACGATTATCTCCCATGATTTGGAAAGTTAACTATGCTTTCACTGACCAGGCTAAAGTTGCACACTGAAGCTTTTTACATGCATTAGTATCAGCCAGGTTATCAGACATTTTATATAACTCTACTTTTTTCTAAGTAAGGGACTTTACATTTGCCTCTGTTAAAGTTCTTTTACTTTCAGCATAATCTGTCAATATAGTTTCCAACTTTGTGCTTCTAAAATATTAGTCATCCCGTCAGTTTTCTGTTTTCTGTCAGCTGCCAATCTGATCATCATTCCCTCCACCTCTTCATTAGTTGATCCTGTTAAGGCAAAAGTAGTTCTTTCTCTTCTGATTTACCATCTGAAGTAGAAAGCTGTCAGCAAACCTGTCATACCTGTGAAATAGTATTTGCCTTTCTACACTACGAGTTTGAGGTCATTCTCTTTATTTTTCTGATTGAGAGCCACCTAGAGTTCAGTATAAGATGGGTGGCTACATAAATGCTTGAAATAAATATATACATACATAAATATTTTGAGTGTACACTATGAAGATCACTGCAGTTCAAAATAATAGTGGACAGGTCTTAGTATTCTTTAGCATTACAGTACAACCTTGTTGATATTTGAAAATGCCATCATAATCCACCCAACTGCCTTTTTCAAGACTGAAGATATCCATTTAAACTAGAGTCAATAGTTTTCCAGAGCTTTCACGGAGTGGTTCAAAAGGCCCTACTTGTTGGTCGGTTGGCTATTTTTTTAGATTAATACTCTGACTTTTCCTCCAAGAGTTCTTCTCAAACTTTTCTCTCAGGAAAATATAACAAAGTAATTCCCCTGGAGTGTTTGCATTCACTCTTGCTAGCTTTTCCTTTGTACAGGAGCAATAATAGCATGTTTCCAATCATCGGGCACAGCCTTTACATTCATTAAACAAACCATACAGCCACTCCTTATACCAACCATTTAGCATTTCTCTAATTATAACATCTACAATTGTAGCCCAACCATTTTTCAACATAATCACAGTTTTTGATGTTTTCTTTTCATCATTTTTATAATGGTGCCATCACCCAGAGATAAAAGTCATTACCCTAAATAGGATCTAGGTTGATTTGTTAAATGACTTAGAAAGAACAGCAGGTTCTATGTCGGAGAATAATTAAAATATGAAGAACAAAATAGCACATCTTCATCCCTTTCGACAATTTATGATCTTGATACTGAATTGCCATCAATATTTGGTGATTTAGTTCCATATGGCCTGCTTATGACATGTGTAATTTGCTTTGCCTCATATACATTTACTCTGTTTTTTTTAAGAAAAAAAACTAGTGCTTTTTCCTCAAGCTGCATTATTTTGCAATTTATATATCAGCAGGGTTTTTGCCTAAAACAACAACAAAAACCGGCATTTCGTGAATTCTACATTTGAAGTTAGCAGTTAACAAAACAATCCTAAATATCAATCTGGCTTGTTAGAGGTGTGGTGTTATGCAGTTAACCACCCATTATGCCCAAGTAATGTCTGTGTACTTAGTGCAGCCAAGATAAGTGGAAGGCTTTTGGGGGAGGGGCAGTCCCCATTCCTGTGGAACACTGGGGGAAGAGGACTGGCAGACCAAGGGCAGGAGACAGCCAGCCCAATAAGAATGTGTGTCAGCTTGTCGGAGAACAGAACAGCGTGAAGCCAGCTTGCCAGATGAGCAGAAGATCAGAGAGAGGGAGGGGGGAGAGAGAGAGGGAGGGAGGGAGAGGGAGAGAGAGAGAGAGAGAACTCATGCACAACAGCCTCTATTTCTTTTTAATTAAACTCTTCAATTACCCCTCCTCCCCATGTCCCAGTGTTTTCTTTTCTCTGGGAAACAGCTCTTTGAGTGTTTAAGGTTGCTGACCCCTGATCTAGGCCCTCTTCTGTACACAAATACTGTGGCTGAAAGTAATGCCTGGGGAAGATATATTCCCACAGAGCTACATGCAGGAGTATCATTGGCTGCTGGGACAAACATCCCGCTCTACTTGAGACACTTTTGTACTTTATCTGCCATAGCTGGCTTCTCTCTACGAGCCTCAATATAGGCAAGGATATTAGAAGAAAACTGGCAATTGTACAAACAATTCAGAAGGTTTTTATTAACACGGTAACAATGGAAACAAGTGAATTAAAATACCATTGAAAAATGAAATCTGTGTGTGTTACGGTGGGTCTATGTTCAGGGGATGGGAAAAGGAAGAAAGGAAGGAAATCACTTAAATTAATTTGTTATACTCCATATACACACGATGCAAATATTAATTTACATTGAACTGGGTGGCTCCCATAATCATATGTAGCCAGGCAGGCAATCACAAGAAAATATCTAGTCTAGTTTTGATGACATCATATTTTTTAATGAGGTATTACAAAGTTAGACTGGGATGTTTCTCTATGACTTTTACTTTGCTAGATTAAGTGAATGTCTAACAGGAAGGAAGATTTATGAGTTGGATCTTGCAGCCTGCAGTGGCAAGCCAGAAACTACTATATTGAAGTCACCACCATTTTCTGATTAAAATGAGGAAGCATGATTGTATAATAAAATTCAAACTTTTTGTTAAGCAAAGCATGGCCTTATAGCTTAACAGCATGCTGTCAGCATAAAAATGTTCATCCCTAAAAACATGTTTATTCCCAGAAATGTATTTTTTTATAACATTACCTCCTGAAGGATCACTTTAAGAAACTTAGATAATGTAGCAATTCTTTTCTCATCATAGTTGACTCATTTGTCTTTTTATAACTGCTGTGATTCTTCTCCTGGATTCATCGAGAGACGTTCTCCTTTGAGGTGACTGCAATGTAGGTAGAGCAGGCAAGCTAACACTGAAGCTGTTTTGGTTCCTACCACACACTACTGCTTTAGTGGTTCTTGAAATCTCAGATGTTATCCTTTTTGAAGCTTTTGAGCACCTTTGACTATTGATCAAAGTGGAGCAGGAAGTTGAAGTGCCCTGACCGAGGGAACACTGTGTCAAGGGAAAGTTTCCACCAAGTTTTTTTAGTTCCATGACTTGTTCTTTAGCTTGAACCAAAGCCTCAGTAAGCTCATAGCGTTCCTCACACTCCCTGCGTACAGTGTCCTGGAGAAGGGCATTCTATGAGGATAAAGAAAGACATATTTCATAAAACATTACTGAGATGACAACAAAAGATATATAAATATTGGGTGTTTTTTAGCATCTCAAAACATAGTGTACTCAGAACAGCGTGTGCAGACAACACATTATGTACTGAAATGCTTACAGCCATACCACAGATAACCAGCATATCCATGTGACAATTATTCTTATTAGCTACTGTGTTTTTCATCATGGGTGTGGTAAAATGTGCATGTGCAGCATGAAGGAATAATTCTCTATTTTTGAAAATAGATTCATTGGATGATCTAATTTTGGTTTCTTTTTCTATGTTTCTATTCCAATCTCTTCTAAGACTGCTTTGCTTTTTTTAATTTCATAAACATACATACAATTTGTCTCTCAAATTGCCTGTTTTATTTTCAACAGTTTTCCGCAACAAAGTTTCTCAAAGATAGCTTTTCCGAGCTGATTCTTGCCAGACTGCTGGACTTCCATTCCCAACTCCATGTCAGAGGTAAATTACTGCAGTGGAAGTCTAATATATGTAGAAGGCACCAGTTTGGGAAATTGGATTAAGTGAAAAAAGCTAAATTGTTATAGGAAATTACTCATAATTTCATTCATAAAATATTTTTTCTTGACTCATGGTGCTCAACTCAACAGAAAACATACTTTGCCTTTCTCACTAAAATGATATCTTGCTTTTCCATGATGGACATTAGCTTTAATGATTAGCTAACTATGAAAATGCTTCAGAGATTGAATTCATTTAGGAATAATGACTTTGCTTCCCAAGAAAACCACAGTGACCAGAAATGTCTTTAGCACTGTGCTTACTTCAAGCCTTAGAATGGAAAATTGGAAAGATAAATCAAGGCATCCTCATTGTAGCAGGCCTTCCGGGCAGAAGCCTAGTCCAAATTTGAATGCACCCACTAAAACTATTAAATCTGCCACTGAAATATTAATCATTTTAATTAAAAGTCCAAGTTATCTGTGCACACTACTTTAAAGGATTTAAATGCTTTTTGCATTTTAGAATGATTTTAAAAAAATGAACCAAGGGCAATTGTGAAGGCTCAAAACTAATATGAACCCGATTTCACTAAAGATTAATCCAAAAGAAACCTTATTAAGTAAGACATGACATCATTTCTCTTTTTTCAATCAAAGTAAATAAAGTCATATCCAATATAAAGGGGTAGGTAGCATAGTGGGATATATAGATTGACTATATGACTATATGCATTCAATATAAAGATTACAATAATGAATGTATCAATAACAGCTTAAAAACTGAACTACATCCACTGACAGAAAATAATGTCCATATTCCAATCATTTCTATTCATCTATATGCACAGCTTACTGTCAAAAAGATATAATAAGGCATGATTTTTATGACAAGTGCATCTATTTTAAGATGCAATTCAATTAGGAAAACTTTGGAAAGGATATTCCATAGGCAGATAGCTAATTAGATTTTTCTATCCTGCCTCTTGAATCAGAGGGATATATCATGAGAAATCTATAATTAGATTTGCTTTCCCCCTTTCCTTCCACCCCCAATGTCAAAAAAATGCCTGAGGGCCTAGCCAGCCTTGAGTAACTAAAGTATAACTCCTAATGTTTCAAAAATTTAGACCAGATTTCCAAATATTCTGAACGTAATTCCTTCTACTGAAAGGAATTCAGCATAACAGTTAAAAAACAAATCAACAAAGCCAGGAGACTGTTCTCATTCTGTCCGGCCAGTTTTCAGAAAGCAGTGTTCTAGAAATATGTTATGGCTCTGAGGTTTGAGTTTTGCTGTTGAAGAACAGGACTGTTTTCTCCACTACAGAATTTTCCATGAAGAAGCAACTACTATATTTTAAGCGGACAGTATAAAAATAATGACCAACAAAGGAACAAGTACATGCATTAATTTTTAATAATTTTAACCACTCAGATGCAAATCCTCCTTGCACTTCTTTTCCATAAAAAAAATATGTTTCACTTCCTCTTTTACATCTTTAAAAAAGTTACATTCTTATATTTTTTATTTTTCTTGATTTTTTTTCTTTTAAACTCTTTTGACTTGATTTCTCAAATGCCTTTTGGCTAAATATACTACTATTCTATTGCAACTCTATTTTTTCAGTTTTTTTCCTTTTGTCTTCATGCTCACTATAGGGTAATTAATGGAACAAATTCAGTATGTTGCTTTGAAAATTTTAAATACTTTAAGATTTATCCTAAATTAACATGATGAGAAAGCTATTTTATTATATTACACAAACAACTTGACAGGAGTGGCATTGTGTGCACTTTTCCCATTCCTAACTTTATATTCAAATCAATTGCCTGCCTGCCTCTCTTTCCAAGCAGAAATCCCATTTATGGAAAAGAGAATAAAGAGAAAGTCCTATACATACAGTACATATTTATAGAAAATGGGTTCTATGCAGAGAAATTAATTTGTTTATCACAATTCTCTTCCATGCCTTGATGAGAATGGCTTGCTTTAGACTTAATAATCTTAGATCTAGAATTGGTTTATATAGCAGGTACTAAACCATGTGTTGATATCCTTGTTCATAATGGGAAAGAGAGAACAACTGAAATGGTATTTGGTCTTATATTTTCATTCCTTGTCTAAATATCCATCATTTGTTAGTTTAGGATTTTTGTATCTCAAACAAACCAAAATATAAAAATGGATATCGTATAATGAACCAGGTCTGACCTTTGGTTGAGTTCATACCTCCTCTTGAACTTGATTCATTGTCTGAATCAATTGTTTTTGTTCCTCAGTTAGTTTTTCCAGTTCACAGGTCTTCTTTTTAATTTCTTCTTTCATCTCTTCTGTCACTGAATTATGAATGCTCTGTTCTTCCTTCAGCTGGAACTCAAGCTCAGTTATTTGTCTTTTGAGGCTTTGCCATTCTTTTTCCCCCTCGTGATCTTTCTCATTAACCCTCCTCTCTGCTTCATGGAGTTTCTTTTCAAGTGTCTCCATTTCAACCTTCAGTTTATTAGTAGCATTACATATCAATAGAGGTATCTGAAAACAAATTTGACATTAAATCCTTGTCAGAGAATTTTGACAAACATACATTGGTTAAGTAGATTTAAATAGTTTTAAGTGATTTTGGAAGAACAAACATAAGGAAACATCATACCATTCCATGTAAGACTTAAAAAGAGCTTGTACCGTAGAATGATATGAATATTAAAAAGTACCCTATAGTAGTGGAATTCTTAGAGGACACAAGATTTGGGAGTGATTAAAAACATTAAACTTGAATACATAAATGAAATAAATATAGTAAATCTTTATTTTCAAATGAAGAACTGCATAGGTCTTCTTAAACACACAACAAAGAGAGAACTTTTATAACTTTTATAAATAAGTATCTTGGACGACTCTTAAAGGATTAAAGCAAATCTTGATCCATATTGAGATTTTAGAGTACGGAATAAATATAACTGTTACGTTGTTTCATGGGGTTCTTGGTCCTACAAAATATCTCTGAAGGACTCAAGAAATATCAGTAAGGAAAACTCCTTGTAATATCACAATTTTGTAAAGGGGATAAGTACTCAGATATTGGAGTTATACAGGTAGTCCTCAATTTTCATTTAGTGACTATTTGAAATTACAACAGCACTGAAGAAAGTGACTTTTCACACTTACGACCGTTTTAGCACCCCATGGTAACGTGATCAAAATTCAGATGCTTGGCAACTTACTCATATTTATGATGATTGCCGTGTTCTGGGATCATGTGATCACCTGTTGTGATCTTCTGACAAGCAAAATGAATGGGGAAGCCAGATTCACTTAACAATCATGTTGCTAACTTAATAACTGCAGTGATTCATTTAAGAACTGTAGCAAGAAAGGTCGTAAAGTAGGGCAAAATTCACTCAACAAGTGTTTTGCTTAGCAACAGAAATTTTGGGCTCAATTGTGGTCATATGTTGAAGACTACCTGTATTACTGTTCATACAGTTGAATTCTGATTGTATAAATACGTGCATTTTGAACAGTTGTGACTAAAACATGAGACCATTTGCTCACTTCAACAAGAATGGCTGATTTTGTAGATTGCTTATTAATATCAGTACTAAATAATTAACATCTAAAAAGAAATGGGACAACTCTGTGACCCTTTGTCCTATGACATAAAGTGTGAAATTAAATTATTCTTGAGGCTAAGCATTAACAAATAGCTTGTTTTCAGTTGCTTAAACCTTTGTATGTAGCAGCTCATACTGATCTTTCTGATATTTTGCAATTAATTCCTGATGCTTTTGTTTCTCAATATCTAGTTCTATTCTGGCTTCTTCTTTCAGTCTAGCAATCTCTTCTTTGTGACTGGTGTGCTCTTTCACTCTATCAGTTTCAACCTAGAAAGCAAACATTTGGAAATCAGTTAAGACTCTGTTCAATTTACATACGCACAATGTTCAATAGACATAGTGTACAATGTTATTTGTGGAAATAATGGGACTTAAGTTGGTCAAGATATACAGCCTGATCCTTATATCTACAATGTTAATAAAAATGTACAAATTACACAAAAGTGTACAGCATTTGATACTAATTACTTTGTAATACAAACCATAACAACAGTACAGAACACAATAAAATTTTGAAAAAGATTTAGAAAAAGAGGATTACCATGAAAAGTGTTTCATTTCTAATCCATGAAACTCTAATCAATATATGTTATATTTAATAAAGGAGAACATTTATAACCCAGGGTTGAAATGAGGGGTCCCTGGTACTCTCTGGGCTTGGTTGTTTTCTTGCAGATAAACTAGGTAACATCATCATGTCATAGTTTATCATAGTCAATGGCACTGATGATGTTGCCTAATTTGGGTAAGGAACATCTGCAAGCAAACCACCAAGCTCAGCAAGCACCAAGGCCCCCTCAAATAAGGTGAGGTCTATGGTGGGGTTCAAATATATGAACAACAGGTTCTCTGTGTGGATGCAGCTTCTGGAAGTCCATTCTGGGCCTGGGCAACAAAAAATTAGCTATCAGTTCTGCCAAAATGGTGCGAACTGGCTGAATCCCACACTGGGTGAGGTCCAAACGCAGCCAGATAATTTGAAGTAAATACATTATATCCAGAATCTAAAATTATTTAACAAACTCATTGGTTTTTATTGTGCATGTTCTTCATTCTTGTTCCCTACTGTAAGAGATTCTAAAACGTGACGTGATTCCTGAAATGGAAACCTGGATGAGACAATCAGCTTTCAGACTACTTTATTGCACTTTTCCAATGGTATCTTAAAAGTTGAATTTCTTCAGTCAACATAAAATAATGATTTCATTAACTTAGCTTTCAATCAAAGTGTCACACCATGGGACATTTTTAAATTTCTGCAAGAATCTCTGAACAATTTAAAAACAGTATAAACATATAACAAATAATATATATGGATATTAATCATTTGCTTTTCTTTCTTCTAAATTTATACACTAGTTACAATTTTGTGAAAAAGCTGTAATAAAATGATAAAAGTAAATGTAAGTTTAGCTAAACATACAAATATATTTAAATAATCACTGTCAATAAATTAAACCTGCATTGCAAAATGACATGGTTCAGTGTACAATTCTGTCAGACTCACACCCAAACATCCACACACAAACCCCTACATAGAAAAAGATAAATGCTGTCTACCTACACACCCCTAAAACATAACATTACAGCTCTACAGTACTGCAATATTTACTAATTCATAAATATAAGGATTTTAAAGATAGTTCAAATGTGAATCCCTATCCAAAAGAAAGAAGTCAAGTGATGCTCCAGTTGGGTTAAATGCTTCCTCCAGTTGTTTATTTTTTGTTATTTTAGAAAATTATAATATTTTTCTTTCACAAGAAAAATCAGCTGCAAACTTGAATAGCTCTAAGATATTCAGAAATAGCTTTAAAATATTAGGGAAATTAATTAAGATTACAATTCTCAATAGCTTCTAGTCTAGTCTCAATAGCTTCTGGCTATACAGCCATTAAATATATACAGTATTTCTTAATAATTGCTGATGGGCAGTTGTTAAGTCTTTATCCCATAAGCACTTAGAACCATGGTAAGAAAATGATACTTTAGGTAACACAATCCATCATAGATCTTACTGTCTGCGGACTGGCACCAGTCCATGGCATGCCAAAAACTGGGCCGTGCAAACAAGCGAAGCCCCATCCATGGGAGGCAGGCAGCACACAAAACCATGCCCCCTCTGGTTCATGGATAAACTCTCTCCACAGAACCGGTCCCTGGTGCCCAAAAGATTGGAGGCTTCTAAGTTAGAACACAATCTCAGTGACTAGATCTGACCTTATAATTTGGGAAATTGGCATCTATTTAATGACACATTTCTTTCTGCTGCATCAGAGTAATGATGTTTTTCTACTCAGGCATCATTTTTAAGTACCTTCATCATCAATCATGACATGTGGCAAAAGTGTTTATTAAGTCTTAAGCACATAGATCATAAAAAGTCCTAAAGTACTCTCAAGCCACTGTCAGCAGTACTGACACAAGTGGAAGCTGATCTCAGAATGAAAATATTTCCCATTAAACTAACACATGAAATCCATGCAATTAATAACCATAATAATGAGCATTCTGAAAAAAATGTCTCAATTATCTTGTCCAAGCTGTCTAGCAATAATTTCTTTCTTCTTTTTTACACAATATGTTTATAATCCAGGGCATTAAATGCATAAACTCCACTTTAAGGAACTTAGTTTTGAAAGAGATTTTTCCCCCTTCCATTTAGGGTACACGTTATTTGATTCTTTTCTCTTTTTTCAAAAAGAACATTTTATTCCCATATAGTGGCACAATGACCCAAGAACAAGACAGCATCATCTCTTTAGTCTGAGGAGAGCATGTCTGGAGCACTTGACATTCAGCACATTTTAATACTTGTCAGCAAATATGTAAGTGTTGTCTCTTATTGCTATTAGTTGGTTACCTATGTTGAATGCCAAGCTGCATAACAGATACCAACTGTGTAAACAGACCAATTCATGATAAAATTATATCCTATCTCTGAGAAACTATGCTGAAAGGAAAAAGTGGGACATCTGAGAACCAAGTATTCATAGCCTGAGGTTTAATGACCAAGCAGAAGTAGAAATACATTCTTAAAGAAGCTAAACCAGGACAAGAAAACAAGAAGTAGGCAAGTGCAGCAAGTACTTTGATTTACACTGTCCACCTGCCTGCCTCTTCAGGGCAACTCCTCCTCCCCCCCTCCCCCAATTCTTTTTGCCTTGCAATTGAGGGACACATCATTGAGATAAAGCCAGTCAGGATTAAGTAGGAATTTGGTAGAAAAGTTTCAAGCGCAGATTGCCTTAGGTCAGTGGTTCTCAACCTGTGGGTCGGGACCCCATTTGGGGTCGAATGACCATTTCACGGGGGTCGCCAAACAAGGCTGTCCGCCATTTTTTCCCCTTTTCTTTGGCCACACCCCTGGCACCCGGTGATGTATAAGTGGTTGGGGGTTACCACAACATGGGGAACTGTATTATGGGGTCGTGGCATTAGAAAGGTTGAGAACCACTGCCTTAGGTGCTAAATCCTTCCCAGCTCATCTTCTCAATGTAAATATGCCTGTGAAGAAACCCACAATAAAATGACTCAGTTTTGCTGCTGAGCAACATCACTGCTAAATAGTTTAACTGAAAAAAAAATGCATTGTATTATGGCACTGGGAAAATGCAGGTTTGTGTTCATTCTCATCCACTGAAATTCACTGGATAGTTGAACTACTAATTCCATCTCAGCTTAATGCACCTCACAGGGTTGTTGTTATAAGGATAAAATGAAGAAAGTTTAGCAGATTAATCTATATTTTAGATCAGGGGTCTTCAAACTTGGCAACTTTAAGGCTTGTGGACTTCAACTTCCAGAATTCCTGGCTGGCTGAGTAATTCTGGGAGTTGAAGTCCACAAGTCTTAAAGTTGCCAGGTTTGGAGATCCCTGTTTTAGATAAAATATATGAAAACTATAGAATGCTGATATCTTCATATTATACAACTAATAAAAATGAAAAGTACTTTATATTGTTTTATGTACATTATTGTTCTGTTTTTATATAAAAAATATTTTTGTTTCAGAATTTTTTTTAATTTTAAATGCTTTTAAAAATGTAAATATCCAGGGGGATTCTGTGAAATAAAATGGAAGGAAGGAAGGAAACTCTTTTATAGTATGTATTAATCTTAACTTTGAGCAAAGAATACAAACATAAAAGTATAATAGAGCAAAAGCTTGGATGCATTGTCTGACAACTAAACAAGTTACAGAAAACAAACAAGTATGATGATAACGGAATACCTAATATTACCTTTTCTTGCCAATTCTTTTCATTTAGCACTTTCTGTCTTAATGTCTCCTGCATCTGTTCTGTTATCTTCTTATGGGAAACCAGTACTGACTCCCTAATTGTACCAAAAAAAAATCATATATAAGATGCATTCTAGCCAATCTAGCCAAAGAAATTATAAAAACAATTCTAAATGAGATTTCTTTTCCAACTTCTAATTCTGCTTGTTTTAAATTTTGTTTTTGCCTCTGTCAGGACAATATTTCCAAAAGAGGTCTTATAGGTATTGAAAATACTGGTACAATTGACACTGACTCTCTTCAGTTCTGGCATTCTTCCAACAGATTTTTGAAACAGTAGATCATATTTATATCTAGAAATCCTCCCAAAATAAAAAATACACCACATCAAAAGGTACCCTAATTATAAAACATCTGAAAGAATTTATAGCATCATGTTATTCCACAAATAACATAAATACAGTAATTATAGTCCTTGACTTACAACAGTTCATTTAAGTGACTGTTCCAAATTTCAACAGCATTGAAAAATGTGACTTATGAGTGTTTTTCACTGTTATGACCTTTGTAGCATCCCTGTGATCATGTGATCAAAATTCAGATGCTTGACAACTGGTTCATATTTATTATGGTTGCTGTGTCCCAAGGTCATGTGATCACTTTTTTCAACCTTCTGAACAAACTCAATAGAAAAGCCAGATTCACTTAAAATCATGTTACTAACTTATCATCTGTAGTGATTCACTTAACAACTGTGGCAAGAAAGATCACTTTAAAAAGTCTCACTTAGCAACAGAAATTTTGGATTCAATTGTAGCCATACGTCAGGGATTACCTATGTAGTAACTATGTCATCACAGTAATTTACTGCTGCATTTAATAAATAATCAGAAGTCGTGCATAGCTGATGTAATTGTCCATAAAAATATGGTGTTAATGTATATTCATTGCATGTTATTTCCTTCCTTAAGGCAGCTTGCAAAAACATAATTAAAACAGAAAAATACAATTCAAAACAAATAATAAAATATTATTAAAATGCATAACATTAAAGTTAAAATATTAAAGCAATTAAATACTTGTTAAAACAGCTACAAACAGGGACCAAACTTGGAGATCCCACTAAAAGAGAAGAAATAAACTCTTTCCCTGCATCCCTAATCTATATTTCAAAAATCAGGACACATTTACCCCAGAGGGAAACAACATATATGTGAGTTCACTTTAGAATGAGAAAAGTACACAGGTGATAAGATAAGCACAGCTGTTTGACTTTTGCCTGTGCTCCTGTCTTTGCAACTGCTTTTAGAAAATAGATATGGGAAAATTATCTGATTGTACATATCAAATCCTGACCTATCTCCAATTAGTACACATTGTAATTCTATTTGGGAACACTTAGGAAAGAGGAAATTATATTATTGGATCCCATGTATTGAAAAATAGCAATAATTATAGATCTTAAGAACCTATTTATGTTCTTGGATTAAAGAATATTGGAGAGGGAGGCAAACCTCACTAACACTATTAAAATTGTGAATAATGACTTTTGATAAGCACTATACTAAAATACAAACATATACATATTAGGACTAGCATGTTACATAATGAATTAACCACAATCCCGATACACCAATTCCAATGTGAAAAATTTATTACGTTTCAAAAAATTAAAGAAAAATATCTACATAGATCTCCTTGGGCATCAATCCACAGTTATGAGATACGGAGCTACTTTTCAGGCCAGCTACCCTCATCCTCATCGTGGCCATGCTCACAGGGGAATGATAGGGTTTGTAATCTAAACCATCTAAAAAGCACATTGTTGGGAAAGGCTGGAATATAAATTGGAATATTAAAACTGTCTAGGTATATAACACTATAGCTCTAATTCAGGGCAAACAACTTGAATTTTTACTTAGTTCCTTGGAAAATCAATGTAATGAAATATATAAATGATTAATTAGCCATTCCTAGGCATGTGATGCTCCCATTTGTCTAAGACAGACTCTGTTATCTCAGGAACACTTATGCCTGCATGAATCCAGCATGTGTATGCATGTGCCATAATTTATTTATTAAATTTTTATGCCACCCATCTCACTGATACAGTGATTTGGGGCATCTACAAATTGGGGAAATGTCTTCACAGCAAACAACTTAAGAAACAAGGAGGATTTGCTCATGGACAGTCATGCTCTTGTGACCTCTCATCTGAAATACTGCAATGCCTTCTACATGGGGCCACCCTTGAAGAGCATTCAAAAGCTTCAACTGGTGCAGAATACAGCTGCAGGGGTACTAATGTGTGTCAGATATCTGACACATGTAACACCACTGCTACGTGAACTGCCTTGGCTTCCAGTATGCTTCCAGGTACAATTCAAGGTGTTGGTTATCAGTTTATAGTCATTTATGGCTTGGGACTGGGCTACCTAAGGGACCGTCTTCTCCAGGTTGTTTCCACTTGTTCAATTCAGTCCAGCAGGTTGGTCGTGTTATGGGTTCTTTCCACCAAGGAATGTTGATTGGCGGGAACCAGGATACATGCTTTCTCTTTCATAACCCTTGCCTTCTGGAACATTCTCCCTTCAGAAATCAGGATGACTCTGATCTTGTTGGCTTTCCTGGATACAGGCCTGGAGCTGGGGTTCTGAGTGGCCCCATTTCTTGGCTGCATTAACATTCATGACAATAGTTCTACTTGGTGACTATTATGTATTTTGTATTGTTTTAGTTATTTAATTAATTTGTTTTTACGTTTTATGATGTACCCTGTCCAGATTTGTTGAAACGGGCAGCTATAAAAATCAAATAAATAAATAAAAGAACAAGGTACTATTAACCAAAAAAGTTTAATTATGGTAATTAGGTTGTGATCTTACGATGCTGAACCTATTGCATAGGTGATACAACTAAGCATAGTGGATTCATGTTTCATATTTGTTTGCAAGCTTATTTGATGATCCCACTTACCAGAAAAAAGCAGCAAAGATCTCCCATAGGATAGCATATTTAGAAAAATACACAAAAATTATTTTATCATAAAATAATAACACTATCACCGCCTAAAAAAATAGATAGGCATGCATTACTTTCAGAGGCATAATGTAGCTGAGAATTCATATAATGTGATGATAGTATATAGTATGAAATAAGAACTACCATTTAAATCTCATAAAAGGTAAAGGTTTCCCCTCTCCAGTCACTTCTGACTCTAGGGGCCGTGCTCATCTCAATTTCTTAGCCAAGGGAGCCAACATTGTCCAAAGTTATTTTGGTGGTCATGTGGCCAGCATGAATATGCACTGAGGTTCATGGAACAATATTATCTTCCCACCAAAGTGATACCTATTTATTTACTCATGTTTGCGTGCTTTCAAACTGCTAAGTGGGCAGGAGCTGGGGCAAGTAACGGGAGCCCACACAGTTCTCAGGTCTCGAACACAAGCTGTCAGCTTTCTACTTAACAAGCTCAGCATCTTTAACTGCTGAGCCATCGCACCCCCAAGCTTAAATCTCATATTACCCTTGAATTCATATGAAATTCCATGTGAATTCCTTTCAATAGTATGGGAATCCAAATTAGTAAGGTGGGTGAGAAAGTAAGTAAATAGCCACAGCTAAATAGTAAGTGAAATTGTGGGAAACCCAGTTTTGGTTCTTCTCTGCTTGCTGGGGTCACCGACAATTTGAGCCTCTCGAACATACTAAGTAAAAGGCAGTGACAGCATCTACTATACAGCCCTCCATCCCATGTCATCAAGCTACTTGGGTAGAAGTTGAAATGACAATTTAGATAAAATATATTCAATGCTTTGGACAGTTTTATTTCTCCAATGTCCATAATAAGAGCTGGGTCTGGCATACTGGAGAAAATTAATCATTCAGTCATCACAATAAAAATAAATAGAACATTTAAAAATTGTTAACCTCTTCCATTGACCTGAATGGTATTGAAGCTTTATTAATCTCAGTTAGGGCCACTATTTGTTGTAACTCTTGGCTGGTTATGGGTTCTATCTTAGGTATATACACTGCAGACCTTTAGCATTCAACGGGATCACTGATGAGTAAACATGCTTGAGATTGTACAAAATGCTTTTCTTTTTATTTAAAATAACATTCTTTTATTGCACACTAACAGCATGTGTAATTATTTATTTTGAGTAAGGAGTAATGTATGTGGAAAGGAAACCTTTGCCCTTGTAGCCCTAGGTATGCCAAGACATTTCTAATTACCTTTCTTGCTTAAGGATGACTATTTCTTCCTCTTGCTGTTTCAGAAGGTTGTTGATTGTTTCCAATTCACTTTCCAAAATCTTTGTTCTTTTTTTAAAATTATCTTCTCTTTTTTCTTTCGCAATTGTTTCTTCCTGTAAACATTGATACATTTGTTGGCAGGCAAGTAAAGATTGTTCTTTTTCTGTCACTATATGAGTAAACCTAAATGTAAAACAAAATAAATATCATAACTGAAATATTCAGACACACATATACATTCTCTCTCTCTCACTTTAAATGGCCCTTAATAATAAATGGAACTGAAGTTTATGGGAAGAACTTCTCTTCATTAAATAAGAGTGTAAATGAATTACAGGAAATGTAACAAAATCAGACCTAGAAATATATATTTATAAAAATACAAATCCATATAATTAAAAGAAACTTTTAAAAGTTTAATAAATGTACAAAGAAAAGATAGAGCTTTCTCTAACAGACTTATGATCTGAATAAATTGAAAATTAGTAAAAGAAGTATAACATAAACAGGTTAGGAAATAGAGACTAGGAACCTAGTTTAAGAAAATTAGACAAATCATGTACCCTGACGTGCAACCTAAATGCTGGAGATGTGGTTATAAGGAGGCTTCCTATTATCATATTTGGTGGTCATGCAGAGAGATAAAAGCATTTTGGATCAAAATATGGTGGAATATCCAGAGAATTTTTAGAAGGAGGGTAAAATTCACTCCGCAATTATTTTTGTTAGGTATTGTTACAGATTGTGATACAAAGGAGGTATTGATGTTATTGATCACAGCCGCGAGGCTGTTAGTTGGACAATATTGGAAGAAGGAATCTTTGCCTACATAGGAATGGTTTTTTAAAGTAGCTTATCTGGCGGAAATGGCAAAGATTTCGGCTTTCTTAAAGCAACAAACGCAAGAGAAGTTTTTTGCTATCTGGGAAAGGATAAAATTTATACAATTTAGATTGGGTATACAAAAATATCATATAGCTTTTTCATAAGTTTTATTTTTATATATATTATAGATATCTTTTTTATATATATAAACATAAAGTTTTTAATTTAATTTTTATTTTTTTTTATTTTCAAGCCTATATTCTGCTCTGGGAAGCTCAGGGGGGGGGAAGGGAGGGTTTTTGGGAGGGGTGTGGGGTGGGGTTTTTTTTTTTTTTATATATATGTATTGTTTAACTTTTTTTCTTTTGTATATGTTGTTTTTTGTTCTGTATTGTTCTTGTTTTTCTTGTAAAATTTATAAAACTTTTAATAAAAAAAAAAAAAGAAAATTAGACAAATCTTCTATGTTTAGCATTTTTAGTATGTGCAAAAGCAGAGTAAAAATGTAACAAATAAATAAAAATCATACAATATAAAACAATTATGAAAAGTGCTACGACACTGAACACAATTATTTAAGTAGAAGTTATAAACACCACCTCCATTTCATATATTTGTAACTGTTATGACTCATACCGAGATTTAGCTATTCCAATTTCAGATGACAACTTTTGAAATTCCCTCTGATGGTCTTCACATTCTTTTGATTTCTTTCTAGAATACAAAACATGGAATTATTTTAATTTTACTTCTTTTAAAAAATAAAGATAATTTTAGTAATAAAGTGGCTTAACTTTTTAATGCTTGTTCTAAACCTCAGTAAAACTACACAAAGTTAAATATTGTTTTAATATACACTTTTATTTATAAGTCGGCATGAGAAAACTCAGAAATGTATGCAAGCAAGCAGTATATCTATCTATCACCAATATACTAGATGGTTCTCAAACCAAAATTCTACTATGTAAATAATTGAGATTAGACGATATTAACAGCCAACTAGTACCAAGACAAAAATCCCAACTGTTTTTTTCCTCTTTTGTTTGAACTGTGCACATGTGTTATAAGCTAAAATAGGGATAAGTATTAAACTAGAAAAGCTCAAACGTTATAGCCATGGTGTTTTTTGAAAATAAGTTCTCTAATAAATTCCTCTCCTATTTACTGGGAAAAAACATAACTTGTAATAGAGAAAACCTCAGTAGATGGTTTAGAACACTTCAAATAAGAAAGTTAACATATATAGTACCCTGTAATAGATTATTCATGCTACAATAAAACAGTCCATATCAAGACTACAGATAAAAAAGAAGGTACCAGCACAATCAGAAAGAACTCTAATATGGGGGGGGTATTGTTAAAAACCGGAATAGAGAGAGCCCTATTGGCTCTTTGTGTTATCTGATTCTATTTGTAGGTTCTTGTCTCTTTTTTCCCATAGAAGGAAAAACCAGCTCTGCAGGACAACTTTAATTGAGAAAAAGCTTCTTGGGTGCAGATGACAGAATTGAAGAAATGCTTCTTCCTTACTACTTCATTTCTCTAGAAAAGTTTCAGCAACTCAAGTTGCTTCCCATCAAAAACAAACAGTGGAGAACATGCAGCAACTCAACACTTTTTGCTCTTTGTTATGATTTTATGTAACAAACTTTTTTTACGTAACAAACTTTTTACCTTTCTTGTGCAGATATATACTTTAATATAAGCATATGGCCAATTACTATATCTTTTGCTGATCTGATTTACTGTATGTATTGACAGAATTCAAAAGCTTTTATTCCATTTTTTTCTAGTGAAGAATTCAAGTGTAAAATTTGCCAAATGAGCCGAGGTGGCGCAGCAGTTAGAGTGCAGTACTGCAGGCCACTTTAGCTGACTGTGTTCAGCAGGTCAGCGGTTCAAATCTCACCAGCTCAAGGTTGACTCAGCCTTCCATCCTTCCGAGGTAGGTAAAATGAGGACCCAGATTGTTGGGGGCAATGTAAAATATATATATATACATTGCTTACTGGTGTACACCTCTTAGAGAGTGCTTTCACTTAAAGCGGTATATAAGTCTCATAAATAAATAAATATATAGTCCAATTATTTATATATTTAAGCAAATAAATCATAAATCTGTCTTGCTGTTTACTGTCAAAGAACATGTAAGTAAACTTACAAGTATAGAAGAACATCTTTGAAATCTAAGGAATTATTTCTGAAATTTGCTGATTTCTGGAACTGGTTAGCAGTAACAAATATGTATGGAGCAGTAAGTTAAGTACCATTTATATTTTATGCAAAAATGAAGTTTTCATTTAATAACATTATACTTTAGTGCCAATATAGATTCCTTTGAATTGTATGTATATATGTATACATATATACATACATACATATACCTGTACATATATACATACATATATTCCAGATTAGAACTATGAATTCACAAAAGAAAACATGTATCACCTTATTCTATTCCAACCAGCAGCACAGAAACTAGTAAGTTTGTGTTGTATTTTAAAATCAAACAAATTACATTTGTTATTCAAGTCATAGTTGGACAATGTACAATGAACAGCCTGAGGTGAATATTTTTTAAAGCGCAACAAGTCCCCTACCCAAATTCTTGGAGAACTGCTCCAGCTGCCAGTCGGACTCAGGTTCTGATTCAATAGGAATCAGTCTGATATTCTCCAGTAAGCCAAAGCCGGTGCTTCTATATACAGATAGTCCTTGACTTACAACCACAACTGGGACCAGAGTTTCCACTGCTAAACAAAGCAGTTAAGTGAGACATGCCTGATCTCATGAACTCTTTTGCCATGCGGTGACTCATACAGTTGTAAAGCGTATCTGGCTTCCCCTCATTGACGTTGCTTACCAGAAACTGGCTGGAAAAGTCACAAATGGTGATCGGGTGACCCTCCAAGACACTGCAACCCTCATAAATGCATGCCAGTTGCCAAGTGCCCACATTCTAATCATATGACTATGGGGAAGCTGCAGCAGATATAAGTACAAGGTTTTAAGTCACTTTTTTTCTGTGTCATTAAAACTTTGAACGGTCGCTAAACAAATGGTTGTATGTCAAGGACTACCTGTATGCAATTTAGTAGTAGATGGAAATGGATTCTGGCCCAGGTGGATCAACATAGATGTATTATTATCTATACAAACATTTTAAGGAAACATCCAAAGGATATTCTACGGATAGTTCTTGTTCAGCGACCACTCATTCAGTGGCCATTCGATGTTATGACAGCACTGAACAAAGGGTCTTACAACCGTTCCTTGTCATTGCAGCCCTTGCAGCATCCCTAGAGTTACGTGAATATGATTCAGGTGCTGGCAACTGGCTTGCAATAATGATAGTGACAGGGTCTCGTCATCACAGGATAACCGTTTGCATCCGTCACTTCTGACAAGCAACATCAATGGGGAAGACAGCAGGAGATCACAAAGGGCAATGATGCAGGCATGGGATGCTCTGACCTTGTGGGATTTATATAACAAGGGCAGGTGGAATTGCCACTGCTATCGTAAGTTGGCCCAGTCATATTACATCACACTGTACAACAGTGTTGCTTATCAATGGAGTTGCCAGTCCCAATTACCATTGTTACACAAGGATTACCTGTATTTGTAAAGGCTTCTTTTAACCTAATCCCAATCATGAGTATAATTTTCACAATCCTCTACATAATCTTTTCCCACTAATACATCTCTGATAGTAAAAATGGTAAAAATGGATAGGACTAGTTAATCACACTGTCACACAGTTTTCTCCACCAATGCATTAGAAAGATCTTGTCTTTATTGCTTATCTGAAAATTATGGGCATTATTGGGAAACAGTGATAAACAAGATTTAGGCCTTTAAGTCCTCTGAGTGGACTATCTGGAACTATCCAGTTGGCCACTAAAGGAAACAGGCTGGATCTTGGCTTGATTCGGTATGTGTATATGTGAACACATGTACATGGGATACTTTTCAAACAAAAATGCAGAATATAATAACCTTAAGATACACTCTAACTTTTCAAGTACTGTAGCATTCACGAAAATAATTACAAATTGTTAAGCAAAAAAGAATGGTATTCTGTATGAATAAAGTGTCTTACATGACTAATTCTTTAAAATATGTAATTTCACCGGCAGCTTTCTGGAACTTGAGTTCAGTTGCCTGTATTTCATCTGTTATTTCTGTAACAACAAATTATTGTTTATCATTTTCATTAGTTTAACTATACCTTCTGCCTCAAGATTCAAGTCAGTTACAATATATTAAAGCATGTAATATTTTATAATGTGAATTATTTATAAAAATTAATTCCTGTATTTGTGTTAATGTTTTAGTTATAAAATATTATAAGAAGCAAAATAAAATTTATTGTGAATGTACAATATAATAAAAATAATCCAAAATACCTCCTAAAGTTCTTATAGGAGATGGAAGCAGATATTCACTTGTATGGCATGGCTTTTATTTTCTTTCTCCATGTCTTCTCAAAATAATGCACCAGATGGTCTCCCAATTCTCCGGAACAGATTTTGGGAACTTTCTAGATTAATTGTACTAAGAATTTTAAAAAAATATGGAACAGTTTGTAGAACAGGTGTGTCCCAGACCAAAATTTTATATTGATGCAATTTTCTAGAATTTCCAAGGCTATAAAAGTATTTTTGATATCATTAGGTAATGATATCAGAAAAAAATGAGTTACATAAAAGGTAAACACTGCAAACTGATTATCACTGGTTTTACAAAAACATTTGTTGATTACAGTGGGCTTGTGCAAGTATTTACTATAAATGATATATAAAATAAATCCAGAAAAAAAATATCAGCACATATGGCTACAAAATGGTCTTCATTCCAGCCCCCTGCTGTACATATAATGAAAAGAAGGCCTAGGGGTGACATGATAGCAGTGTTCCAATATCTAAGGGATTGTCATAAAGGAGAGGGGATCAACCTATTTTCCAAAGCACCTGAAGGCAGGACAAAAAGCAATGGATGGAAACTAATCAAGAAAAGAAGCAACTTATAACTAAGGAGAAATTTCCTGAGTTAGAACAATTAATCAGGAGAATGACTTGCTTCCAAAAGTTGTGAGTTCTCCAACAATGGAAGTTTCTAAAAAGAAATTGGACAACCATTTGTCTGAAATGGTATAGGGGTTTCCTGCCTGAGCAGGGGTTTGGGCTAGAAGACCTCCAAGGTCCCTCCAACTCTGTTATTCTGTAAACAATAGATTCTTCTGTAAGCCTCCAAAACTTGCTGTTTCCCCTCTTTGAAATCCTTCCAACTAATTGTGAGTCAGCAAGTGACAGCCCCAGTTGTCCTTGGTGGATCTCAGAAAGGCTAAGCAAGGTCAGACCTAACAAACATTAGAATGGAAGATTGCTAGGAAATCGTTGGATGTAAACCAAATGTGGGAGTTTTAAAATAAAAATAAAAAGTCTGGGCGACAAATCACTTCTGCAATGATGCCAAAAATTCTATATGGATATGTCCATGAAATCACCAGGACTTAAGCTTAAATGAAGAAAATCTTTATTTCAAGGAAATATAAAAAAATACAAACCATCCAAAATGTCAAGGCACAGAATAATAATAATAATAAAGTTGGAAGTGACCTAGGAGGTCATCTAGTCCAACCCCCTTCTCAGGCAGGAAACCCTATACCATTTCAGACAAATGGCTGTCCAGTCTCTTCTTAAAGACTTCCAGTGTTGGAGCATTCACAGCTTCTGGAGGCAAGTTGTTCCACTGATTAATTGCTCTAGCTGTCAGGAAATTTCTCCTTAGTTCTAGGTTGCTTCTCTCTTTGGTTAGTTTCCATTCATTGCTTCTTGTCCTGCTCTCAGGTGCTTTGGAGAATAGCTTGACTGCCTCTTCTTTGTGGCAACACCTGAGATATTGGAACATAGCTATCATGTCACCCCTCATCCTTCTCTTCATTAAACTAGACATACCCAGTTCCAGCAAACGTTCCTTATATGTTTTAGCCTCCAGTTCCCTGATCATCTTTGTTGCTCTTCTCTGTACTCTTTCTAGAGCCTCAACATCTTTTTTACTTCGTGGTGATGAAACCTGGATGCAGTATTCCAAGTGTGGCCTTACCACAGTATTGTAAAGTGGTATTAACACGTCACATGATCTTGATTCTATCCCTCTGTTAATGCAGCGTAGCACTATGTTGGCTTTTTTGGCAGCTGTAGCACACTGCTGGCTCATATTTAAGGACTCCAAGATCCCTCTCACAGTTACTATATTGGGTCAAGTACCACCTATACTATACCTGTGCATTTGGTTTTTCTTGCCTAAATGTAGAACCTTACTTTTTTCACCATTGAATTTCATTTTGTTAGATAGTGCCCAGTGTTCAAGTCTGTCCAGATCCTCCTGTATCTTAAGCCTGTCTTCTGGAGTGTTGGCTATTCCTGCCAGCTTGGTGTCATCTGCAAATTTGATAAGTTCCCCATCTATCCCCTCATCCAAATCGTTGATGAAGATGTTGAAGAGCACTGGACCCAGAACACAGCTCTGAGGCACCCCACTACACACTTCCCTCCATGTAGATGCAATTCCACTGAGGACCACACTCTGAGTACAGCTGGTCAGCCAGCTACGAATCCATCTGGTGGTGATACTGTCTAACCCACATTTTTCTATCTTGTCAAGTAGTAGGTTGTGGTCTACTTTATCAAATGCCTTATTGAAGTTCAAGTGAATTATATCCACAGCATTCCTCTGGTCCACTATTTTTGTCACCTGGTCAAAGAATGCAATAAGATTTGATTGGCATCTGTTTTTGACAAACCCATGTTGGCTTTGGTAATGACTTTGTTTGCCTCTAGGTGTTCACTGATTTGTTGCTTGATTATCTTTTCCAAGATCTTCCCAGGTACTGAGGTCAGGCTGATAAGTCTGTAGTTTCCTGGATCCATTTTTTTCCCTTTTTTGAAGATGGGAACGACATCAGCTCTTTACCAGTCCTCTGGTAGTTCCCCAATGCTCCAGGATCTTTGAAAAATATAGTTCAGTGGTTCTGAGATCACATCTGCCAGTTCCTTCAGAACCTTGGGGTGTAATCCATCTGGTCCTGGCAATTTGAACTCGTCTAGGCTGGATAGGTGCTCACTTACCATTTTCTTGCTTATCTCAACTTGTGTTTCTAATCTGTTTTTTATGGTATTGTTTTTGATAGGTTGGACTGTTTTTTCCCTTTGTGCAAATACGGATGCAAAAAACGAGTTGAGTAGTTCTGCTTTCTCCCTGTTGCTTGTCACCTTCTTGCCACTTTCTCACACTAATGGACCAATCATTGAGGGAAAACACTTGAGAGCTCAATAATTTAGACATTAAGCAGCTCTGTTAGCATATATTTTATATAGATTGAAATACTTTGTTCTCAAGTGGAAAAATAACTTGCTTTTGAATGGACTTTAATATACAGAACAGTAAAAATATAATAATTACATGAACAATTGTATTAGAAAACAAAGAAAATTACTGTGCAGAAAATGGCAACTGAAATAACTGGGGAGGATAAAGGATGCCCTTCCAAATGTAGGGAGATTCAGAACTGATAAAGAAAGTATTTATTTATAGAAATCATATCTAAATTATGGAATTCACTGCCAGCAGATTTGGTAATGGCCATCAATTTAGAAGATTTTAGAAGGGCACGAGATAAACTGATGCAGAGTGCCCTATCAATAAAGATTAGTATTAATAATTTCATTAACTTTAATCAGAGGATACAATCCTTAAATGTCAGTTTATGGGCCCAGTGTCTTACAGGTTTCATGTTCTAGCTCTTTGATCTCAACCCTGGAGTCCAGTCATCTGACCTTCAGAAGCCCTGTCTTTCGGCCACTGATATTAAATTCCAGGTCAGTCTGCAATAAGGCCTCCCCATTTCTCCCAACCTTCTGGAAATCCCTTAAACCTCACTTTTGTCAATGGGTTGGGAATCACAAGTAACTTGATGATAGCTCTATTGCAGCGGTTCTCAACCTTTGTGTGATGGCGACCCCCGTCACACGGATGCGCCCCCATGCGTGGCACGCATGCGCGGCGGCGCCCCCATGCGTGGCATGCATGCGCGGCGGCGCCCCCATGCGCGGCACGCATGCGCGGCGGCGCCCCCTGAGGGGGAAAAATGGCAGATCGCATTGTTTGGCGACCCCCGTAAAATGGTCGTTCGACCCCAAATGGGGTCGCGACCCATAGGTTGAGAACCGCTGCTCTATTGTTTAAAACCTGATGCCTTCTCTTAGCCTTTTACAACAATATTCTTTGTTCTTTTGTACATTTTAAAAAATATTTTTATGATTGTTTTGTAGGCCACCCAGAGTCACATTGCATGAGATGAATGGCCATATAAAATATGATTAATAAATAAATGTTGAGAAGCAACAGAAAAAGGTTGCCATCCTTCTATTCATGGTTACGTCGTGAACTAGTTCTGATACCTCCTTCCAGGTTGTTTTTTTCCCCCTTCTCAGTCTAGTCCACAGTCCTAACATTCTCCAGTACTTCCTGTCCAAAAAGTAATGAGCCCTGGCTTATTTAAGTTTCTGGAACCAGACAGGCCCAGCGAGGTCCGAATACCTGCCAAATTTTATTTATTTTATTGGTTTGTTTCATAAATTTATACAGCACACCTGTATTATACAAAATAACCCTAGATGGTCAATTACACACAATAATAAAAAGACAAGATTAAAACTCTAGCAAACCATCAGAGCAATAATAGTACTTTATCAATAAAGCACAAAAAATGCTATATTCACCTCCCATCTTGACCCAGTATCCGAGAGAAGAACTATTTTCAATTACTTTTTTCATATGTTAAAATTATTTTTATTTCTGTACAGAGTATTAAATTACATTAATTTAATCCCTCCTGGCATACTTTATACATACCTGAAAGATCTGACAATGACAACAAGCACAACTTTATATTATGTCAAAAGTGTACTGTCAAAATCTATAACACAGCTGGTCACAGTGACCCTTTTGCTATAGGCATGGGAGAGCTTCCACATAATCATATCAAATGTAAAAATAATTTTAAAGGAACTCTTGTACATCAAAAAGCTGACCTTCTCAGTAAACCACATTTATGGAGAAATTGCATTCAACATGCAAAGAGCAGTTATATAAAAAGATTTCCATACACATTTTAGTA